CTAGATGGGTATCAGTCATTTGTGACCTTAAGGGCATCTTCATTTGGGTGAGGTAGGAGAATGTAGATTCTCAGCAATAAGTGGTTGAAAAGCAAGAAAGCATTTTTCGGGCATGTTGCCAAAGGCATGGGTATTCACCGCATTTTCCCATATTTCAATTAGATCTTTCTTAGCATCAAACAATGACTTTAAAATGTCATCTACTGAGAGCTCAATCAATTCCATCCGTAGTTCTTTAGGTGCCTTGGTGGTATCCACTAGGTGAGGCTGAAATGCTAATTTGAGTGTGATGTCATGATTCTCAAAGTCAGTGAACCTTTCATTGTATTCTCTAATTAATAGGTCTTTAATAACATCTGCGTATTCTTCAAATGATTCGCATATACCATCCTGCTCATCAATGACCTTTGCTAGCTGGGGAAAATGTTCATCCAAAATTTCTTTTTTGAAGAAGTGTTTTGAAAAAGGATAGCTTTTTTCGAAATGCTTGGATTTTTTTTTTTTTTTACCACATATCATATCTAGACTTAGTTTTACCTTGCGAAGAAATATTCAGGTTGTTTTGATTTGACATGATGTCACACAGAAATGCTGCATTCCTATAGTAATCTTTCAGGCCGGGCGCGGTGGCTCACACCTGTAATCCTAGCACTCTGGGAGGCTGAGGCGGGAGGATCGCTTGAACTCAGGAGATCGAGACCAGCCTGAGCAAGAATGAGACCCTGTTTCTACCAAAAAGAAAAAACAAATAAGCCGGGCCTTACGGCAAGTGCCTGTGGTCCCAGCTACCAAGGAGGCTGAGGCAGAAGGATCGCTTAGAGCCCAGGAGTTGGAGGTTGCAGTGAGCTGCAGTGATGCCACCGCACCCTACCCAGGGTGAAAGAGTGAGACTGTTTCCACAACAACAAAATTTTCTTTCAATAATTCACATTGCTGATTCTCTTCTTCATAAAATTTGTCTCTTCTTGCAGAGATAAGATTTTGGCCAACCCTGTCTCTGCAACAGCCAACACACTGTAGAACGACATGGCAAATCCACGCGGACCACCTCATGGTTCAACTTTGGCATGCTACGAAACTGAGGACGTGTGTTGCAGCTGCCTCGCCGTATTTTCCTGAATCTCATCGACGGTCTGAAATCTCTTCTCTTTCAAAGGTGATTTTAGTTTTGGGGAAAGCCAGAAGTCGCAGGGCGACACATCTGGGCTGTAGGGGGTCTGAGTCACCTCCGTGATTTAATGTTTCGCCAAAAAACTCTGCACAAGACGTGACGCGTGGGCGGGCGCCTTGTCGTGGGGAAGCTGCCAATCACCAGTTGCCCACAGCTGCAGCCATTTCCGTCGCATTGCACCTCTCAAGCGAGGAGGAACATTGAGGTAGCGCTCCTCGTTCCTCGTTTGGCCTGGAGGAGCGTCCTCGTGATGGGCGACGCCTTCCCAGTCCAAAAACACAGTGAACGCGGTCTTGATCTTGCTGTGACTCTGCGGCGCCTTCTTCGGGCCTGGAGAACCAGGCGACTTCCACTGGGGCGACTGGGCCTTTGTTTCCGGATCACGGCACAGACCCACGATTCATCTCCAGTTATGACCTTCTTGGGGAAATCTGGTTCATTGGCAGCGGTGTGAAGCGAGTCATTAGCAAACGCAGCCGATGTTCTTCTGCTCTGGTAGCAGAAGCCGCGGGACATATTTCGCCACGACACGTTTCATGCCCAGACCCTGCGTCCAAATCTTGGACACAGTAGTTTTTGGGAACCCCCAGACCAGCTTCCGGCTCTCGCACTGTCAGTCCCTGGTCTCTGTTGACTGCAGCCCGTACACGTTCGACACTCTCACGTGTTCTGCTTGTCACGGGCCTTCCGGAATGTTTGTCACTTTCAGCAAGTTCGCGACCATCTTGGAAGCGTTTGCCACACTTTTATTTGCTCTGCACTCGTTGCATCATCCCCAGAAGCCTCCTGAATCATCCGAATAGTTTCCGCAGAGGAATGTTCAAGCTTAACGCAGAATTTGACGCAGATTCGCTGCTCTACTCGCTCAGTCATTTCGAATGCGACGGCCTCACGGTGCACGTGCTCACGCAACAGCGTCTAGCGCCCACCGGCTAGTACAGTGAGGGCGTCACTGTTCACACGTGCGCATCCCAGTCCTCTCTCCTCTCCCTTGTGACATTGCTGTCATTCATTTCATTTGTTCATGTGCTGTAGTCACCCAATACATTGTCACTTTTTTGCTTTAAAGAGCTGTCTTTGGATCAATTAAGAAGAAGAAAAATAAGGCTGGGCGTGGTGGTTCCAGCACTTGGTGAAGCTGAGGCAGGAGGATCACTTGAGTCCTGGAGTTCCAGGCTGCAGTGAGCTGTGATGACACCACTGCACTCCAGCCCCAGCAACAGAGCAAACCCGTCTCACAAAACAAAACAAACAAGAGTAAGAAAAATAAGAGATTTTAATTTACCTTCATTGATGCTGTCTCTGATGGGCTTCCCTGCATTGTGTGGACGGTGTTTCTGCCCCTGCCACTTTCCCGCTCTCAGCGTTTCTTACAGGCAGGGGACTGGCAATAGAGGCCTTCGGTTCTTGCTTTTCTGAGAAAGTCTTTATTTCTCCTTCATTATAAGGATGCTGTTGCTGATACAGAATTCTAAGATTTGCAGATTCTAAGATTGGCAGATTATTTTATTTTAACAGTTTAAAGATTTCATTCCACCCTTTTCTTTTCTTTTTGAGACAGGGTCTTGCTCTGTCACCCAGGCTGGAGTGCAGTGGCTTCATCACAGCTCACTGCAGCCTCGAACTCCAGGGCTCAAGCCATCCTCCTGCCTCAGCCTCCTGAGCAACTGGGACCACAGGTGCCACCACCACACTTGGCTAATTTTTCTTATTTTTTTTGGTAGAGATGGGGTCTCACTGTGTTGCCGAGACTGGTCTCAAACGCCAGGGCTCAAGCCATCCTCCCACCTCGCCTCCCAGCATGCTGGGATTATAGGCGTGAGCCACCATGCCTGGCCCACTCCACCTTTCTTGCCTGCATGGTTTCTGACAGGCGGTCCATTGTAATCCTGACCCTTATTCCTCTATAGGAAAAGTGTTTTTTCCTCTGGTTTCTTCAAGATTTTCTTATTGTTTCTGGTTTAATTCAGTTGGAATATGACAAGCCTAGGTATAGTTTTTGTTTTGTTTTGCTTTACTTTTTGTCATTTGCCTTGCTTGAGGTTCTGTTTCCTGGATCTGCAGTTGGTGGCTGTCACTAGTTTCACAATGTTCTCACCATTCCGCCATTTCTTCCGCCCACCCAGCCCTTCTCTGGTGCTCCTGTTGCACCGGTTCCATCCTTTGACGTTGTTCCTGGGTGGTCCATTGTGGTGCTGTTCCCACCCTTTGTTCTCCTTGCATTTCAGTTTGGAGAGTTTCTGTTGACCTGTCTTCACGTTCACTGATTCCGCCCTTTGTGCTGTAATGTCAGCGCATGAACCTGTGACAACATTCCTTATTTCTGTTCATGGTTCCCGAGTTCCACCATTTTCTTTCCATTCTGTCCTGTTGTTTCTACCCTGGCATTACCTATCTTGTCTTGTGTGTTTCCTGCTTTTCCATTAAAACCAGTGTATCCAGCAGCTTCTGCCGTGGTGAGTGGTCTCCCTGGGTGTGCCTGTCTCTTAAGACCTCAGGGCGCCAGCTGTCCTGCCGTCCCAGTTCTCTGCTGCTGGTTGGCAGTTTCCCCGGCTCTTTTTGCCGTAAGGATGGGGGTGGCAACCGCCAAGCACCTTCCACGCGGGAGCTGGTGCTGGAAGTTGTCTACTGCCGAGCTGTAGAGCCCAAGTTCCTCGCGTGGTTGTTCCATTCAGTCTCCTTCCCAGGTTTCCTTAAGAACCAGGGCGAGGGGTCTGCAGCCTCCTCCACTGTCCCAGCTCTCAGGACCGAGGTCCCTTCGTTCACTTCTCAGAAGCACCGTTCATCAGGCGGCTTCTGAAAGGGCTCCCAGCATGTCCGTGCTCGTGTAACACGCTCCGGCATGGGGCCGAGCCTGGCGACGTGGTCCTGACGAACAGAGCGCGGCGCAGGTGGCTGCAGTAGCTCTGCCTCCCTGAGGATCTTCTCCGCCACTCACTCTGGGCTTGTGCGTTGATGTCCAGTGGCTCCTGTAACACGTGACCGTGAGCTGGGTGGCTTAAAATAACAGGAGTTTATTCCTTCACGGTTCTGGAGGCCAGAAGTCTGGAATCAGTTTCACTGGGCTGAAATCACGGTGTTGGCAGGGCCATGACCCCCCGGAGGCTCCTGGGGGAACTGGTTCCTTGTTTCTTCCAGCCTTGGGTGGCTGCCAGCACTCCTTGGCTTGTGGCCACATCATTCCAGTCTTCAAGGCCACGTCCTTGGATCTCTTCACCTGCCCTGCCCTTCTGTGTACCTTCAAATTTCCTTCTTCCTCTTAAGAAGATTCACGTGATTGTGTTTATGGCCCGCCTGGATAATCCTGGGTGGATTAATTTAATCTCATCTGCAAAACATTTTTTCCATCTATGGTAACAGTCACAGGTTGCTGGGATGAGGACGTGACATCCCTGGAGGCTGTTTTCCTGCCCTGCATGGCGTGGTTGGCCTCTTCTGTCCCAGGAGGCTGAAGGCCAAGCAACAGGTGCGCTGGACTGACTCACCTTATAGATTGGAGGCTCTCATCCCAGACGGGTGGTGTTCAAAGGATACAAACCCACTCTCCGGTCATCAGCTCACCCTACTGGGGACCACTGTGGGGTGAGGTCCTGGACCAAGTATGCAAGGCTGTGTCCACCTAGTGGGACTCCTGGAGGCACGACCTGGCAGCCCGTGGGTGGCAGCAGGCCACAAGCTGCCCACCAGTTTGCCCAAATGCTCCACATTCTGTCACACACGTTCGGGACTAATGAGGGGAGATGCTCCACTGGGTCAGGAGGGAAGCCTGTGGCCTTACTCCAACCCCAGGAGGGAGAGAACGGAGCAGCTTTAGAGCTGGGAGGAGGATGTGGCTAGGTGGGAACGCCTACTTCCTCTCTCCCAGCCCTGCGCAGCTGTCTCTGCAAGTGTTTTATTTACCTGCACGTTCCTGGTGCGAGGAGCTCTGAATGGTGCTGCCTCAGAAGCAGCGGGGAGGTTGGAGGGGCGTGGGCACCCCGCATTTCATCTAGGAGCCTCCGCACAACGTCAGGACGGTGGGGGGTTGCTCTTGGTCAGGCCATAATGGTTCTTATGAGTTCCCACAAAACCAACAAGGCAGGAAGCAGGAGGCCAGGCCAGGTGGACTGGAGAAGAGGACACCAACGCCCCCTCATCTGCGGGTCCCTGCTGGCCGTCACCAAGCAGAGCCTGGGTGAGATGAGGGCTTTCTGCAGACAGACCCGAGGGCTTGCAGTGGGTCTTTTCTGCCCTGGAGCCTCACCTGCTGGAGGGGCCAGACTTGGCAGCAGGGCCTGGCTGGAACCCACCCAGCCCACCATGGAGCCGGTGTCCTGAGGGCCTTCCCTCTGTCCCTTGGTCAGGTGACAGACTCAGGAATTCTACTTTCTTTTTCTGTAAAGGGGCACCCTAATGGTTCACCTCGCAGAACTGTGTGGTTGCGATGAGGCCTGTGGAACTCTCTGCAAGTACTGGCCAGCATTTCTTCAATACCAACGTACCCAACAAGCTCCTACCACAGTAGTGGCCCATCCCAGGTGCTGCTGCTCTTGGGGTACTTGCTTTGGAACAGAGACACATGTAGGGTGGGCTTTCTGGTTTCCAGGGATGACCCTGGCCCCACTGGAGAGCAGTCAACCTCCTCCCGGGGTTAGAGCTGCCTCCTGACACAGCAAACTTCCGAGTCGGGCTCCGCGGGTCTCCTGGGTCAAGATCGAGCTGGACAGACTCGTTCAGAGAGCAACTGGGCACAAAGGCCCCTGAAATCCCCGGGGCGCCCTGCGCTCAGGTGACGCCGCTAGGGGTACGTCTCAGCCTGGCGTCCTCCTCCGCCCCAGGACCGCGCCCTCCAAGTCCCAGGACCGCGCCCTCCCCGACCCAGGACCGCGCCCTCCCCATCCCGGGACCGCGTCTTCCCCGTCCCGGGACCGCGTCTTCCCCATCCCGGGACCGCGCCCTCCCCATCCCGGGACCGCGCCCTCCCCATCCCGGGACCGCGCCCTCCAAGTCCCAGGAGGACCGCGCCCTCCCCATCCCAGGATCGCGTCTTCCCCATCCCGGGACCGCGCCCTCCCCATCCCGGGACCGCGTCTTCCCCATCCCGGGACCGCGTCTTCCCCATCCCGGGACCGCGCCCTCCCCATCCCGGGACCGCGTCTTCCCCATCCCGGGACCGCGCCCTCCCCATCCCGGGACCGCGTCTTCCCCATCCCGGGACCGCGCCCTCCCCATCCCGGGACTGCGTTTTCCGCTCTGGATGGCCGCGGGCCGCGTCTACACGAGCCCTCGGTCGCTGGGATTGCTGGAGACGGGTCCACGTGGGTGCCCGGCCTGAGGATGCGGTTCGAGCAGGCAGGTATTTTGTGACCCAGGCCGGGCGGAGCCCTGCGCCCGACGGCCGCCACCGCCCCCACGGTGTCTGGGTTCCCGGCCCCGCCCTGCCCGCGCACTCTAGGACCCAGCGGCGTCGCTCCGCCGTCCCGGAGTGGGCGGGGCTCCGGCCATTGTGACGTCACGCGGGCGGGGCTGCCCGGCACTGGCGCGGGCGAGCGGAGCGCGCGGGTAAGGGGCGCACGGGCCGCCCGCCCATCCCTTCCCGGGGTCCACGCGGGGCGGCCCGGGGGCCCAGGACGCCCGGCCAGGGCTCGCGGTCACGGCCCCCCCCCCGCCGTGCGAGCCCCCCAGCCCGCGGTCCCCCTCCGGGCCCGTCTGCCCTGCTCCTCCCCCACCGGGCTGAGCCGCCCGCGGGCGGTGAGTCTCCCACCGGGGCTGCACCCACCTGGGTCGCGCTCCCGGCCCTCGGGCCGCCTTCCCTGCACCCGGCCCGGCGCGCCGCCCCAGCGGGAGGCCCCTGCCGAGCCCCGCGTGCGCCCCGGGCCTCCGGCTGCCGCTGCGGAGCGCCGCGCCCTGCGCCCGGCCCCTCCCGGGCGCCCGCGGTCACGCGCAGGTGCGCCCGCCCGGCCTCCCCGCTCGGACCGAGCTCGCACGCTCCGCCTCCCTCGCCAGGCGCCGGCGGTGCGGGGCGCGCGGGACGGGCGGCGATGCGCGGGGGCCGCTGAGAGCGGAGGGGCCTCGGCGATGGAGGCCGAGGGCTTGGACTGGCTGCTGGTCCCGCTGCACCGGCTGGCGTCCTGGGGGGCGGCCGGGGCCATGGTCTTCGGAGGGGTGGTGCCCTACGTCCCGCAGTACCGCGACATCCGGAGGACGCAGAACGCCGAGGGCTTCTCCGTCTACGTGTGCCTGGTGCTGCTGGTGGCCAACATCTTGCGGATACTCTTCTGGTGAGTCGGGGCTTTCTTAGCCGGGCGCCGCCGGGACGGCTCGCTGCTGTCGGGGTGGCGGGCGAGGCCGGGCGAGAGGGGGTGCCCGCGCTTGCTAAGAAGGCCCCAGCCTGCAGGGGACCGGATGCGTGGTCTCAGGCGAGTCACAACTTGCTATGGTTTTATTTTTCCGAAAAAGTGGTGGTGTTGGAGCAGAGAACCTCAAAATAGTCTCCGGCTCTACCTCCTCATTTAATGTCGAGCACGCACTCGTCAAACACCACCCGGGCTGCCTCCGGGAATTGGCACTTGCAGCGGGGGAGGGGCGAGGAAGCCGCGAAGGGGGTGACCCAGGCGAGGACAGCTGGCAGGAAGGGCCTCCTGGGCCAGCGCCGGGAGGGGCCGTCCTGTGGTTTTTCTTGTCTTTTCTTCCTCTTTTTCATAGGAAGTCAAACTTTCTGGGTGATACTTAAGTGGAGACTATTTTTTCTTGCCCGTCAGGCCAACTTCCTATTATTATTTGCGTTCTGCTAAGGAAGGTGAGGTTAATTTTAACAGCTGAAGCCAGACATAATTGGGAGGGTGAATTTTTAGAGGAAATGAAAAGAGGTTTCACAGCTGCATTCTAAGGCCCCAAAAGCCCCCATTTCCCTTCTTCTGGGTGGTCCCAAGGCCTCTCTGCCAGTGCAGGGAAGGACTCCAGGCAGCTGGTGTCCAGAGCTCCGCTTTCGACTTTGGCCACGGAGTGTCTGCCTGTTTACTAACTGGTTTTCAATGAACCGTTTGGAGGCATGACTTACATTAGCTAACAGGTGCCCACTTTAAATGTGCAGTTTGATGGATTCTGACCGATGTGTCCACCCCAGGTTCATGAGCCCAGAAGTTCTCTTTGCCACTCTGCGTCCCGTCCCAGCCCTGGCCTCCGGCAGCTGTTGACTTACTGTCCACTGTGTGCTGGGTCTGCCCTGGCCGGAGGCTTTTAGAAGGGGAGCTCGTGAGCTGACTGTGTCTTCCCAGGAGAATTTGTCTCTGAGCTGCCCACTGCAGCAACTTCTTTGAGTTTGAGTCTTGTCTGGAGGTTTGTCTCTGGGTCAGGCTGTGTCTGGGGCCGGGGGCAGAGGGTGTTGTTCACTTTGAAGATCCCTTCCTCCCCCCCCCTTTCCCTTTGGCTGAGGGTAGAGACGGTGGCTGGGTGCCCTAAAGTGGCCTTAATTAAGTGTAGGGTGAACAGGAGGAGGTCCCTAAATATACTTGTGTCTAATGCTGTTGTTTACTCTAGCAGGGGGTGTTCCCAGGGAGCTCACCCGGTTAGGGTTAGCATGCCAACCAGCTGGCCGCCCACTGTGGCCCAGGCTCACATGTTTAGGTTGCGAAGGAACGTTGTACTTATCTGTAGGGTTGTGCAATGAGTTTTCTGTAAATTAATGGAGGAGAACTGCCTGAGATTGGATTACCGTATGGGAAAAAAGTTCTACTTAGAGGTTTTTTCCTCCCCAGTATGCTTATAGTTCAAAATTGCTAGAAGAAATGATCTGATGTACACCTAAGTATCTGGTTTGGAGACGCTGGAAATTAAACTAGTTCCCTGGTGCCGTCTCCTCACTGCATTTGACAGACGTTTGGAGCAGGTGTTCCCAATGAAGATGGTGGACTGGGAGTTCCCTCTTGAGCTCTTTCCCAGTGGAGCATAGGGCAGCCTTCTGTGGGATCCTGAACTTTGTCCTCTGCTCTATTGCGTAGAAGCAAGAGCTGTCCTGGGCCACTCACAGCTTCTGTGGGCCACTGTGGGAACACGCAGGGCCCTAATTCCACAGCACATTCCAGAGCTGTGGGAGAAAGGAGGAAGGGCAGAGGGTGCCGGTCCCACCTTGAGAGTCTCTCCTGCCCGGGGATGTGCTTCCCTGCACCTCACCCAGCAAAACCCAGCAGACAGCCCAGGGGGCCGTCCAAACTCTGAAACAGCTGTGCATCCTCTTGCCCGCCCAGGCCCTCTGCTCCGAGGGTGATGAGATGATCAGCTGATTTCTCTCTAGAGCTTCGTGTTGCCCCACTTCCGCTGTGCACCAGCCTGCTGGCTTAGCAGCCTCTTTGATGTTGCAGATTTCTGAAGGTTTCCCATGTGCCAGACGCTGGCCAGAGGCTTCAGGGTTTGTGCTGTAGCGGTAGGGATACATGGGGTGTATCACACGTATGTGCACACCCCACCATGCATGCATGCGCACACACATGGAGTGTGGGTCGGGAGAGAGCAGAGGGGGCTGAGGCAGGTCCCAGGTGAGATAGCAGGTGGACCCACACCAGGACAGTGTGTGTTGGGATCTTCACGCTTCCAAGAGCCCAGTCCCTCTGGGCTGCATCTTTCCCCACTGGAGATTGGGGGTGCACGGCATATGAGGGGTTCTGCAATCCTGAAGGGCTAATTTAACTGTGTAAACCCAGAGATTCTGAAACTTAGGTAACTCTCATGCTTTTGTTTCTTACATCACTTTGCAAAACTAGCATTCAGCAGATCACATTCGTGAAATGCTGACATGCAGCATTTGGCATCTGTGGTGTGGGGAGCCAGGGGAAGGGCTGGCTAGTGCCTTGCAGCCAGTGCGTTGCAGGGCTAGTGTTTGCTCCTGGCGGCCCAGAGCCTGGTGCATCTACAGGAGAACCTTAGACTGTGAGCCACTCCCTGCCCCTCCCTGCCTGTGCGGGCTCTTAAGATGGAAACACTGTATCAGAGACGTCGCAACATTTTGCTACTGAGGTTGATAGATTCAGTGTTGCACAGGGGAGTAGATTGACAACTTCTCTTCCACTGGAGTTTTTATGTGACTTGGGGAAGTGGGGGAGTTGTCTCTCTATGGGCAGGCGCCTGTGTGCTGTAACCTATGGAGAACCAGATTCAGAGGAGAACCGCATTCAGATGGGGCAGCTCAGCGCTTCTCTGAGGAGCAGGCTCCCACTCCTGTCTGCCGGCTGTCCCGCCTCTTGCCACTGGAAGAGGGTGTATAGGCCCACATCCTCGGGGCAGGAGAAGAAAAAGTGCTCTTGAGAGGTCCTTGCCGGTACTGACTGTTATCATTAAAGGAAAAAGAGTTAGACCAATTTGATAAGTAAAAACTGGCATCTTTCTATTTTAGTCAGCTTTTTAAAATTACTGATGATGTTGAATTTTGTTTCATACTTGTTTTGTCCCTTGTACATGTTTTGTGGACAGCTGCGCTTTTTGAAATTTTGTCTTTTTCTTCATCCTAAAATTGGTTAAACGTTCACCTCTGTTCCCTCCCATTTTATCTTAAATGGTCTCATTCTTTACCTTGAGTATTGGGTTCATCTAAATTTGATTTTTGCCGTGTGGCACGTGAGGAAGCTCAAACCTCGATTTCTCCCCACACAGTTTCTCTGGTCATTTATCATTTCTGTTGAACGTTTAAGAAACAAAAGTGGCCTTTTGCACAAAGTGGCCCAAATTGCTCACCCTCACTGCCAGAAATGAGCTTGTGGAGAAGAGCCCTAGTCCCCACAGAGCGACTCATTTTACTGCGGTGCTGGCTGGCTCAGACGCGGTGCCTCCTCTGGGCCCCCGAGACCTTCCTTGTGGAGGACGTCCGGGAGCTTGGCTGTGACCTGCCCTTCATAGGTGAAGGGACTGAGTGAGGCTTGGAGATGGGGGTCTTGGGTGCTGGGCCGGGGGCAGCCTGGGGGCAGAGTGCGTGAGCCACACCCTGGCCTGGCCTCTGGCCCGGAAAGCCCCAGGTCACAGCCAGCCTGATGTCCTCTTCCCTGGGCCTGGTCCCTCAGCCGTCTCCTCCTCCCTCTGCTTCCAAGCTCTCACCTGTGTGTTTCTCGGGGTCCTCACCAGGGACAGGCTCCAGGAGGTGGCAGGATCCAGGGCGACCCCGGTGACAGCTTGTCTGCTGAACCCCAGCCCAGCCTCTGTCCACCTGGGGCCTGGGCCACTCTCTCTGCTGCCTTCTCTTCCCGAGTCTCCACGGCCTCCGGCAGCTGCTCTGGGGGCCAAGCTCCCAGAAGATGTGGGGGGGGCCTCGGCCTCCTGCACTCGGCGTGGCCGCCCTACGGGGAGTCTGTCTTGGCCCCTGCACCCCCACACCACCCAGTATCTGCGGCTTTCTTGGTTGCAGTGGGAGCCTCACCTGGAATCTGCTGCCTCAGGAGCCCCTTCTCGCCTGCTGGGCCTGCTCACCTGGGCGGTGCTGCTGTCGGGGCCGTGTCTCCGTGGAGGGTGCAGTTGTCGGTGCCCGGGGAACATTCAGGGCTGCCCAGGAGGCACAGCTGATCAGAATTCACTCTGGCAGTGAGCTGCGTTCCTGACAGGGCTTACAGCATCAGAGGGGATCGGAGGGTCAGTTCTCCACATGTATGGAACATCTTTCCTTGTCACGTAGGCAGACCTGTCAAAGATACGCTCTTTGAGGGCTGGGAGATGAGGCTGCATCCAAGGTTGTCATTTACAAATTGCTGGCAACAAGTATCTCTGCTGAGCTTGGTAAAATGTCTTTTGTTGTCTTAATTTCTTGCGTGATTCTGGTGTAGTTCCCTCCCACGGTAGCCAGGCTGGACGGCGTGGGGCAGGGGTCTCCCAATGCAGGCTCACACTGACCGGTGGGTTGAGGGGGGCTCCTGCCAGGTGGGGCTAAGGAACTTCAGGAACTGGCCCTTAGTGGCCTCACCGCAGGCAGCCTCTGCTGGAAACGCACAGAGCGAGGCTTGCCCAGGGCGCCAGGCTGTGTGAGCGGCAGATGCAGAGGCGGGGGCTGCGGGGGTTGTTGCTGTGCCTCTGGTTTCTCCGCACAGGGGAGGCTGGGAAATTAGACAGCTGTATAGGACCTGCTGACCTTGATGTGTCAACCACCAGTTCAAGTTCTGGAAATACCCTTCAGGCCAAACAAGCTCTGTAGGCCGATTGTAGTGGGAATTCAGGTCAGGGTTAGGGTTGGAGCTTCTGAAGGATCACGCACCCCACCCCGGCCCAGCCCTGGAGACGGTGACCCTGCAGGTTCCAGCTGCATGGCGCTTGTGGGGCCAGGTGGAGACAGCCAGGTCCTGCCAGCCACTGGGCTGTGGTTCTGCCCTCCGGAGGCCTGAGGCGGAGCTGGCGAGATGCTCAACACTGGCGAAAAGTCAGCAGAAGGCCTGGGGTCCGTGTCTCGGAGGGAGGGAGGGGCGGGCCGTGCCCTCGCTGCCTTCTCTTCCTTGGCGAGGGTGGGGGGCGTGGGTGAGGGAAATTTTGTGTCTGGCCCTGTCGCTGCTCTGCTGGTACTTTGGGCCGCTCTGGCCTGGCGACCCCACCTCCCCCAGGAAAGAAGGGGGGCTGCCGTGATCCGGAAGCAGGAAGGGCCTCCGACACCTGGGCAGTGGGGGGGACTCAAGACTCCCCACACTGGGTATCTGGGCCCTGGTGGGGGCTCTGGGACCAGGCCAGAGAGTCCCGGGGAGGGGAGAGCGTGGCATTTGGAAAAGCCCAGGTGTGGTGCTGAGGGTGGGTCAGGCTGTCTTGGCCACCATGGTGTCCAAGGCCCTCCCAAGGGCCCCCTCCCTGGGCGCTGCTGGTGGCCGGCACCCCTCCTGACGCGGCGGGCTCTTCACCCCCAGGTTCGGAAGGCGCTTTGAGTCCCCGCTGCTGTGGCAGAGCGTGGTCATGATCTCCACCATGTTACTGATGCTGAAACTCTGCACGGAAGTCCGCGTGGCCAACGAGCTGAACATAAAACGCCGCTCCTTCGCAGGTTGGTGGTTCACAACGTTGGAACTAAAGTCCTACGAAATCGACAAGCACATCTTAGCTTGTGTTCGTTTGGTAAAATAAAAGCCACTTTAACGTTACATGAGCGGCTTTCATTTCACCAAATGGTGCCGCTACCGGTAACTGAAGGAGTATTTTCAGGATGTTAAGTGACGTCAAACATTTCGTCATGTGAAGTGATTCCAGAAAATAGTTCTTCACTGGGATTCGGGTGAGGCAGCGACTGACCTTCACACGGTCCCCGGCGGGGAACGTCGGCCCCTGTGGATTCTGTGTCAAAGCAGGACGCGCGTTTCTGTCTGTGTCCTGGCTCACGCGGGTCACGGAAAGGCGGTGCCTGAGAGGGCAGCGTCACGTCTGTGTGCGGCTCGTGCCTGAACCTGCCCTTGCGTTTCACTGTCACCCGCAGCTGAGGACACTGGGTCTTTCCCGCGTGCCCTGTTAGCGTGCACCGGGGCCCTGCTGCAATGGGAAGGTGGCTCTGCCGTGTGGCCTGCACCTGCGGGGCGACATGCTCCATGGTGCTGTCGTCTGGGCAGGACCAGGCACACGCTTAGCACACGCTTAGCACATGCTTAATACACACTTAGCATGTGCCACTCCTTAACTTTTGGCAGCTCAGAAAATAGAAAATATTTCTTGCTGTTTTGCCTTCTCTTTTGCAAGTTTCTTCCAACCCAACCTTCCTGGGGCAAACGTAGGCTGGCGGGCTTCTCCTGGGCAGAAGGGTTAAAGCCTTCCTTTTCCTGTTTTTCTAATACTAAATCCAAGCCAGCTCGCACTTTGGTTTCGTCTGCAGGTTATGGGAGTCGGGGGGAGAGTTGGTTTAATCTCAGCGGTCGCTTGGAGAAGGCCTTTCCAGAGTTTGTCTGGTTCTGGGCTGCTGTGCCTGTGAAATCCCACTGGGGAGTTGGTCCCTGTGTTCTTGTTCCTGGTCGCTGTGTTCTTCCTGTTCCGGGGGGCCCATCCTTCTCCCTTTTGTCTGCTTCTGTTGCCAGCGAGAGGCGAGTGCGTTTGAGTTCCAGTCTTTGTGGAGAGAGCCCCCAGCGCTGCGGGGTGGCCTGGGCGGGTTAGTGCCACTTCGAGTGTAAAGGTGACCACAGATGTCTCCTCCTGGTGCGTTTTGTCCTCGCCCCCTGTCGATGCCACTTCTCCTCTCTGAGTATCTGTCCTGCCCCTGTTGAGCTGTGGGTTTGAAATTACGCCAGAGAAGGTGCCGGTCGCTGATCTTGCCTAGGAAGCTGGTTTTGAAGCCAGTCAGGACCCGTGCGAGGTGAGGAGCTGCGGTTCACATTTCTGCTCGGGTCACGTGGGCTTTCTTCTCGCAAGTCTTCTGCCTCTGCCCTGGGCCTGAAGCTCCCCATGGCACCATCCACGCCCCCTGGAACCTCAGCGGTGACCCTGGACAGGGCGTCGCAGCTGGCTGCAGGGCCGGCGTCCTCGGCAACGTTCTCTCCGGGGGAGGTGTGGACTCGGAGAGAGGGGCACACGCCTCGCTCTGTGCTTCTGCTGCCCTCAGACCGTAGACACGAGGGCGGCTTCGTGCCCCCATCTGAGGCTGGGTGGGCCCCAACAGTGGACAGACGTGAGGTGCCAAAGGTTGCAGGTTGTGAGCACCCAGGCCGTGCAGCCAAGTAGAGTTTGGTGTTTACGTGACGTTGCTGAAACGCAGGGATACCGCGGAGACCCAGCACCGTGCACCCCGCTCCACTGGGACTTTTACCTGCAGGTGTGGGCCCAGGTGGGCAGCAGCAGGACTTGCCTTCTCCCAGCAGCGTCATCAGAGGGGTATTTTAGATAAGAAAGAGAGTGGGATGGTGGATTCCTAACGTTCCATGTACATTCTTCCAAGGAAACGTTTCCATTCTGATTAGCTAACATTGAGTTAAAATAGTGAATCCATTTCCAGAGCTGGGACTGCAAGTGAATTTGTGACAAGTGCCTCTCTGTGGGGGGCAGGGTAATGGCCACAGAGGTCCACGCTCTGGTCCTGGAACCTGTGCCTCGTGCAAAGGGACCCTGCAGGCGCGGTTAAGGTAGGACCCGGAGATGGGAGGGTTGTCCGGGACGGTCTCTGTGGGCCTAAGCTAATCGCAGGGGTCCTCGAAAGTGGTTTGTGCTGCGGCTCTCGGGGACCTCCAGAAGGTGGGGTGGCCGTCACTTTATACCAGCAAGAACACGGCCCTGGGGCCCACCCCGCAAGGAACTCAGTTCTGCTAGCAACTTGAATGAGCAGGAAATGTAGCCCTGACTTTAAACCCCAAGTCCCACGTCGGACTTCTGGCCTCCAGAGCTGCACGACAGTCACTCCAGGTGGCCGTTGCCGCCGTGTCTGTGGCAGCCTGTTACAGCAGCGGTGGGAAGCGGACCCACCCTTGTCCTTGAGGCTGGAGTTCCTGGAGCAGCAGAGGGGGCAGGTGGGGCTGCGGTGACCACGGGCCGGGTCTTGTGACCTCTGGGTCCCCGCCAGGCCCCACACTAGACCTCAGGTGGAAAATCCACTCCTAAACCATGCAGACTGGGACACAGTTGATGTGTTTAGGAATTACCGAGAGTCACACCTGAGGTGCTTTTAATATTTGGACCCAATTCAGCTTTGCGCTGTTCTTGTCCACTCTGCGAGAGATGGGCCGGCACGTCCTAGGGGAAGCTCCAGTGGGTTTATTTCCTCTCATCTGCAGAGGGGGAGACGGGGGTTGTGGAAAAATCCAAAAAGTTCAGGCTTAAAGCTCTGGCTGTAGCTGACGGCTGCAGAGATCCTGCCGTTGCAGAGGGAGGTGGCCCCGTGGGCCTGGGGAGGCATAATTCACAGCCTAAAAACAGTAGAAGCTCAGCTGTTTTCCAGCTGTCTTTACAGGGATTTTTAGTTTCAAAGGTCACCAATTCAGTTTGAACGTTAGGACTGAAGAGATGTCCGTGGTGTTACAGAAGAAAGGGCAGGTTACGTAAAAAACTGAACGTGTAGTTTGCCGTCTGGTCATGAGAGCAGCGTGTGCCAGTCGTTTCGGGGAAGACGGGAGCACGAAGCGGAAGCGAAATAGCCCCACCTCGCTCGCGGCTGACCATGGCGGCAGGTGGCACTGTCCAGGTCTTCTCCTTCTTTCTTTTGTAGTCAGTGTCCGCTCACAAAATTGGTGTGATTTTCAAGATTAGCATCAAACGTAAAAAAAACACCTCATTCCATGGAGGCGTTTTCCCACACCTTGCTTGTGTGGGGCGGTCGGGTGGGCTTCCCCCTGCGAAGGGCCACTCGCTGGAGGGAGACGCCAGGACCCCCGGGAGGCCGGGCGGGACGCCGTGTCACCAGGCAGAGCGAGGCCTCTCCCGCCAGCCAGGTGCCGCTGGGCCTGGGGAGTGTGTTCCTGTCCGGAATGTGCTGGGCTTTTTCTTTTTACCTTTCACTTTTTACGATGGAGCATTTGAGACGTTTACAGAGTAGGGCGTGGCAGGGGCGGTGGTGGCCTGTGCCCAGCGGAGGCTCCAGAACGCTGGCGTCTGCTAGCGCCACCATGGCGAGAGACTGCCCCACACCTGCGCTCGGCTGTCCCGTGCTGTGATTTATGACGGAACGTCTCTATTTACCAGTTTTCAGAACCGGTTCCCGGCATCCTGCCATGACGACCACTTTGTGTTTTGTGTTATTCTGAATGTGTGGATCGAGAGATGTCGGCACGTCACTCGATTGTCGTCTCTGCACCTGGGAGGCTCCCTCTCCAGCGGGTGGGGCCGAGGTGGCTCTGAGCCCCCCGGCCCAGCACGCGGGTCTCCCCCGTCCTTGACGTCACAGGCTGCTCCCTGCCGCCCTGGCATCTCCTGCCCTGGGTCCAGACCCAACCATTTCTCCGAGGAGCTCTTGTGTCTGGGACGTGGTGTTTGGAGAGCACAGTCTGGGCTCGGGCGAGAGTTGTGTCTGTGGTTGTTTTTCTGGCTTTTCCAGCGGGCAGAGCTAGGGAGACGATTTTGGGGAAACACTCCGTGCCTGCGTTGCCGACTCCTCCCATTCGACTTCCAGCCTGGAGGCGTGACCCAGCCGCGTAGCCTGGCCCGGCCTCACTTCTCAAGGACTCCCTCGGGAGTAACAGTGTCACCCTGAGTTGGAGTCTTGATGCCAGCGCCAGCCTCCGGGTTCCTAAAAACTGGTGTTTCATTGGGACTGGGTTCTAGGCTCAGGACCAGGGATGGAGGGTCAGGTTATGGCATGTTAAAGTCCCCAGGAACAGCGATTCTTAGGTACACGCCAACTGGACATGAGGCTGGGTTCATTTGTTTCATTTTATTTTAAATGTATTATTGCTTTTTTAAAATTTAACTTTGTTCTATAATGTATATCTTTCCTCTTAAATTCCTCTTAGGGGTTATCTTTCTTTTTTCTGAGACAGAGTCTCACTCTTTTCCCTGGGCTAGAATGAGTGCCGTGGCATCAGCCTAGCTCACAGCAACCTCAAACTCCTGGGCTCAAGCGATCCTCCTGCCTCAGCCTCCCGAGTAGCTGGGACTACAGGCATGCGCCACCATGCCCGGCTAATTTTTTCTATTCTCTCTATATATATTTTTGGTTGTCCAGATCATTTCTTTCTATTTTTTAGTAGAGAAGGGGTCTCACTCTTGCTCAGGCTGGTCTCGAACTCCTGACCTTGAGCAATGTACCCGCCTTGGCCTCCCAGAGTGCTAGGATTACAGGCGTGAGCCACCGCGCCCGGCCTCTTAGGGGTTATTTGAGAAACAGTTTTCTGTGGCTCAAAGTCAGGTGGTTCAATTTCTTTGACATTTGCCCCAAATCTCAACGTGGGTCCCAGAATGGACCTGGCTGAGGGGAGGAGGGGGAGGGGACTGGCTGCTAATAAGTATGGCGTTCCTTTTTGAAAATGTTCTGAATTAGGTGGTGGCGGTGGTTGCACAACTCTGTGAATATACTAAAACCATTGACTTACACACTTAGAAGGGCGAGTTTTTTATGGCATGTAATTATATCTCAATAAAGCTGTAAAAACACGTTGTGTGGGAGGGTCACATGCCATCTCGCAGGCATCTGTGGACGTCACGTTGACAATCCCTGTCCCCGCCCCGTGTGCCACCCACGTCTGACAGGCTTGTCTGGGTTTTTCACCTGGGCCTCTGTGCCCGCGCCCTCCCTGTGCCCGCCCCATCCTGCAGCCACCCTTCTCCCCTGCGCCAGCAGGGTCTCCCTGGCGCAGACCCCGCTTCGCTGGCCGCAGCAGTGCTCTCGGGAGGCAGGCGGCGGCCTCTGCCGGCCGCGTGGGGACCTCACTCACCTCTGCCTCCTGTTCCGGTCTCTGTGGGGGCTGCACGCGGGGCCCCAGAACTTAGGACTCGGAAGGACGTTTATCTTGCTCATGAGTTTGCACTTTGGGCAGAGCTTGGCAGGGACAGCTGGTCTCTGCCGTCCTGGGTGACAGCTGGGCGGCTCTCAGAGGCCTGGGCTGGGCCCCGGGAGCTCGCTCTGTCTCTCTCTCTCTCTCTCTCTCCCTCTCTCTCTCTCCCTCTCTCCCCCCCACCCCCTTTTGCGCAGCTGGTGCTGCCCGTCAGCTGGGACCTGGCCGGGTCCCTCCGCGACACCCGCGTGGCCTCCCGCGTGCCCTGGGCTTGCTCACAATGTGGTGGCAGGTGCCAGGTGTGAGCCTTCTGAGGGAGGCAGGTGGAAGCTGCACCTTTTCTGTGACCTAGCCTTGAAATCGCAGCATCGCTTCTGCGAACGGGAGTGTTCCGAGCCCACCTGTGACCAGGGAGAAGGGGTGGACCCCACGTCCCGATGGGGGTGTCATGGTTCGGAGGAAACGGAAATGTCGCGGGGGCCACTTTTGGACCCTGAATGTCCGGGCTGCAGTCCGTGTCCAGGACAGTCCTAACTGGCCTCTCAGCGTCAGGCACTGTCTCCTGCAGCCTGCGCTGCATGAAGGGGGACCTGACCACGTTGCTTCCCCAGCAGAGAGCCTTGGGTGGCCGGAGGCGGAGCCCGGGAGAGGCCTGTGTGGGACCCGCCCTGCAGCCTGCGCCACACACGCTCCCTGCCTGCGGATTGTCCCCACCCTCCGCAGTCAGCCCCACACCTGTGCTCTCGCACTCACTCGCACTCACTCGGGGCCTCCGCTCCAGCCTGCCTCGTGCCGATGTCCCACGTGCTCCAGCGCTCTGCCGGTCAGTGTCGCACGCTCAGGCCTGGGGACGAGAGGGAACAAAGTCTGCTTGTGGCTGAAGTGCCCAAGTCCTGCACTGAGCCGTCCCTCCCTGCCCACCCCTCGTGGGTCTTGGCCTTCAGAAGAGGTGCCAGTGGCTGAGAAATCGGTCTGGACTGGATCCGAGCAGCAGGAGGGAGGAGCTGAGGAGACCCCGCCGCCCTGCAGGGACCAGGAGACCCCCGAGGCTAAACCTCAGGTCTGGTGGAAACGCCCAGCTCCCACCCACGTCCTTCTCAGCAGCAGCCGCCTGTGTGTGGAGCCACAGAGTCTAGGGGCAGAGGTCTTTCTAGTGTTTGCTTTTAGCTGTTTGCTTGCAAAATTTCCATTTTCAGGTCCAGTCCTTATTGCCTGGGGGCCGGGGCCAGGCACCTTCGACCTCACCTCTGTGGCTCTTCTTTTTAAATCCAGAGCCTGGGAGGCCTCTGCAGCGCCACCCGGAGGGTGCTCTGTCCGCAGCACAGTCCCAGCCTGTCATTCTGGGTCTCCGGCTGCGTCAGTGGGAGCCCGGCCCTGCTGGGGGGACCGGCCTGGCCGACTGCCACCCTCACACGCCATCTCCGTCCGCGTCTCTGCCGTGTGCTTGTCAGATTCATGTTGAACCAGGCGTCCTCTTGCAGCGTTTTGTGGGGTGTCCTCTGAAACAGCTCTGTCAGGCGACCTTCCCGAGAGTCTTGCCCACGGGACAACAGGGCTACAGCCAGAGCCTGTGTGCAGACGGGTTTCTAGGGAAGAGGGAAGTGGGGTCCCTCGCGCTGCTTTCTCTCAACGTAGCAGACGTGGCGGCTTCGTCCCCCTTTGACCTGAGAAATTAAGTGAAAATGTGATGACTTTAATTTTTGACCTAAAATTTTCTCCTCTTCTCCCCATTCACTTTGATGATATTGGAAGAGTTTTGGAGAAAAATAGTTCAGAAAGTGAATTTTCTAATTCACAGAAACCAAAATCCTGTGGTATTTCTGGTCCAATTTTTTTTTTAAAGAAATGCAAAAAGGGCTGGGAAACGCGGTTGTTTACCAGTGTTAAAACCAGTCTGTTTCTGTCTTTTTTCCCTTTCTGTTTCTTTCTTCTTAAAAACGTAGCTGCAGATAGTAAGGATGAAGAAACCAAAGTCCCCCCCAGGCGGTCCTATCTGGGTACGTACCGCGCTGCACCGCGCTGCACGAGGCCACCCACCCGCCAGCACGCGTGTTTCGTGCCATTCTATGCAGCTCTGCTCCCTGTCATCGCTGTCATCTGTGCTGCCTGTGACCATGCATGCGGGTCACTCACTGAGCGTGACCACGTCCCGGCACACTAACCAGCCCACAGCTCTGCTATTGTCACGTGTGAAGTAGTTGTTACAAGTCTGCCATTGTGTGTGTGTTGGCGTGTGTGTTTGTGTGTGTGTTTGCGTGTGTGTTTGTGTGTGGGGTGGGGCGGGAGAGAGGGAGGGAGGGAGGGGTAGGGAGGTAGGAAGGAAGAAAGGAGCAAATTTCAGGTTACAAGTTTGGGACTTTCTTTGTTAAACCTATTCCAAAGTATTTTCTTTTTTTGATGCTGTTGTAAATGGAATTGTTTTCTTATTAATAATTTCATTTTGGATTGTTCGTTGCAACTTTGTAGAAATAAAATTGTTGCATATCGATCTTGTACTGTGCAACTTTGCTGAACTCGTTTGTTAGTTCTAATAGCTGTTTAGTAGATTCCTTAGGATTTTTTATATATAATTCTGTCATCTGCAAATAGAGATAGTTTTTCTTCTCCCTTTCAGAGTTGGTTGCTTTTTATGTTTTTTTTCTTGCCTAATTACCCTGGTTAGAAGCAGAGAGCGTGGATATGCTTGTCTTGTTCCTGATTTTCATGAGAAAGTGTTCGGTCTTTCACCATTAAATGTGATGTCAGTTAGGGATTTTTTATAGTTGCCCTTTATTAGGTTAAGGGCGTTCCCTTCTATTCTGAATTTGTCGAGTGTTTTTATCATGAAAGAATATTAGAGTTTACCAAATACTTTTCCATGTCAATTGAGATGACCATGTGTTTTTTATTCTGTTATTATGGTGTATCACACTGGTTGATTTTTGTATGTTGAACCAACCTTGCATTCTTGGGATGAATCCCGTTTGATCGTGGTGTATAACACTTTTTATCTGTTGCTAGATTCTGTATTATGTTGAGGATTTTTTGTGTCCATACTGATAAGAGATAATGGTTTGTAGTTTACTTTTCTGGTGATGACTTTGTCTGGTGTTGGTGTTAGGATAATGCTGGCATTACAGAGTAAGTCGGCGGAGGCAGAAGGATCGTGTGCGCCCCGCAGTGTGAGGTTGCAGTGAGCCACGATGACGCCACCACGCTCTGCACTGTACCCAGGGGCACAGAGCGGGACCCTGTCTCAAAGAAAAAAAAAATGTTGGGAAGTGTTTCCTCCTTTTTAAATTTTTTTGTGGGGGAGGAAGAAGGATTGGTGTTGATTCCTCTTTACATATTTGGTAGGATTATCCCATGAACCATCTGGGCCTGGGCTTTTCTTTGTGGGAAGTTTTAAAATGACTAATTCTAATTCAATCTCTCGTTATACGTCTATTAAGATTTTCTATTCCTTCCCGCGTCCGTTTGGTGGTTTGTATTGGAATTTGTCCATTTCATGTATCTAATTCACCGCATCTAATTCATCGCCATACGGTTTTTCTCGGCATTCCCGTGTAAGCCCTTTCGTCTCTGCGCGGCCGTGAGTGACGGTCCTGCTTTCATTCCTGAGGTCAGTAATTCGGGTCTCTCCGGCCAGACCCGCACTGCTGAAGTCTAGATAAGGTTTGTCAATTTTATTGTTCTTGTTAAAGAATCAACTTCGGGTTTGTCGATTTTCTTTATTGTTTTTTATTCTCTAGTTTATTTAATTCCACTCTCGTGTTCTTTCTTTCCTTCTGCCTGCTTTGGGTTTAGTTTTCTCTTTTCCTAGTGTCTTAGCATGTAAGGTTAGGTTACTGAATTGAGATTTTTTTTCTTTCTTCCTTTTTAGTATGGGCGTTTATAGCAATAATTTCCTCTAAGCAATGCTTTAGCTGCATTCTGTAGTTTTGGTTTGTTGTCTCTTTGTTTCCATTCAGCTTAAAGTATTTTCTAATTTCCTTCAAGATTTCTTCTTTGAAGTGTTTATTCCTGAGTTCGTTTAGGAGTGGGTTAACTTCCACGTATTTCTGAGCACCCCAGATTTTCTTCTGTTATTGCTTCATTTCCTCTGTGGTTGTGGAACATACTTTGTATGAGCCCAGTGCTTTTACATTGAGGCTTGTCTTGTGGCCTGGCGCCTGGGCTGTCCGGGGAGTGTTCCCGGTGCAGACGTATTTCGCTGGTGAGCAGGGGTGGAGGGTCGTCTGTCACGTCCAGGTGGGTGATGGTGTTGTTCAAGTCGTCTGTTTCCTTATTGTTCTACGTGTCACACCTTCCACTAAAAGTGGGTGTTGATGTTTCCAACTATTTTTGAATTATCTTCTTCTCTTTTCACTTGTTAGTTTTTCTTAATGTATTTTGGGGCACCGTTGTTAGGTGCATGTATGTTTCTAGTTGTTATATCTTCCTGATGGATTGACCCTTTCATCATTATAATGTGTCTCTCTTTATTTCTAGTGATATTTATGTTTTAAAATCTATTTGTTTTGAGACGGTTTCGCTCTGTTGCCCAGGCTTGATGCAGTGGCATCAACATAGCTCACAGCAACCTCAAACTCCTGGGCTCAAGCCATCCTCCCGCCTTGGCCTCCCAAAGTGCAAGGATTATAGGCGTGTGCCACCGTGCCTGGCCAAAATCTGTTTTTTCTGAAATTAGTATAGCCTCTGCAGATTTCCTGTGGTTACTATTTGAATAGTGTATCTTTTCTGTTTTACTTTTGCCTTTTTTGTATCTTTGAATTTAAAGTGTCTTAAAGTGTCTTCTGTAGACAGCATATAATGGGTCTTTAAAAAATTTCATTCTGCCCTTTGATTTGATTGTTTATCTCATTCACATTTGATGTCATGATATATTTGGATTTACATCTGTCATTTTGCTTTTTGTTTTCTATATGTCTCA